ACAGATAGTTTCCTATATGATCAGAGTGGACTCCATATAAAACCCACAAAGCAGTCAAATGGATCTAAGCTTAGAATCAATTAATATTGCAGCATCATTTACAGATTATATCTAACTCAATTTTCTGCTTTTGCATACCTATAGGCTATAGTCACCTAAACAACAACAGTAACCATTTTTTAAGGCTACCTGATAGACTACAGAAGATTCCCCAATAACACATTTAACGCCCCTCAACTAATATGAATCAGCTTTAGCTAGAAATAATTAATAAGGAAACAATCAAAACTCAACCTGCACTTACAAGGTACATGCCATCATCAGTTACTTTTAAACCAGTTACGGCACCATAATGAGCAGTGGCACGATCTTGAATGGAAAGCATCCCCGGATGTAATCTTTGTCTTGCAGAACTCTCAGCTGGCATTTATCCGATTGTTGACTGTTTCATTCCATGCCCATTGGCATATTTCTTTTGTGGAGCTCGTGGTTTTCCCAATGAGTTTTGGCCTGCTGACAGTGACTTTGAGACTGAGACCTGCAAAAGGTACAACAGAAACAAATTCACGATGAAAAAGATCTTTACACTCATTATCCAAACCAAAGTAAGAGCTTTGCACTCCTGGCCAGAAGATAAATAAATAAAGGAAGAGTTTTACACTATATAATAAAAAATTATCAAGATAAAATATCTAATTTGCCACGATGAGCTATTTAAGAAAAAGTGCAAGTGGAGCAAATGCGGCTAGGACAAAAAACCGTAAGACTATATATAGCATTTGTCCTACTGAATGGGGGAGGGAGGGAGGGTCGAATTGTGCCTGATACTCTGATACCAGGACAACAGTTATAAGACAATGTCAATTTTCTTAAACTCATACACCCTGCAAATCCGCAATTATCCCTTCATGCATGAATCTGGATGGCCTTACAGCATAATAATCCACTTCAGGAAAAGTTAACTAGAATTGCCATCATTTGTATCATCGTACATAAATAGAAAAAAATCAATTCTCCTTGATTTGGACAAACAGAAGATTACATCCATGACTATTTGCAACAAATTCAAAATATTAACTGCAAATGTAAGTTATGATCTTGTAACTAGTTTGGAATAGGACCAATAAAGATGCAGAAAGTGGATGTGATGCAACAAACCCAAGCTTACAACAAGCATACCTTATTTGCAGCAGAACGAGCCAAGACAGGTGGTCGCCGTCCGAGTTGAGACTGCGACTGATCCAGAACAAGAAAACATCCAGTATGTCGAATGCACCAAAATCGAATCGCACCATCACACCCACCAGTTATCAAGACCCACTCATTTGAAGTAGACCATTCCACAGTCATTACTCCATCAGCCACCACGTAATCACATAGTACTTATCATTTCATGTTAACAATTTCCCGTACCCTAGAATTTATTTACCAAGTGTGAAAAGTGAGAATTGGGATTGTAGCACTGCTAGCTTTATGAGTTCATCATTTGATGACGGAATGGTCAAACTCTTTCCACCAGTTAAAGGGAAGATGTATTTTGTACCATAAAGAAAATATCCAAAAATGGTCTATTTTAAATATTAGCATGCCTCCCTCCTCTCAAGATGAAGAAGAAGAAGTAGCAAACACAGTAAATCTATTCTCATGCAGCCAATTGCAATTAAAAAGAAGAGTTCATGCTTTAGGCCGCAAGACCAAAATAAAATTGAGAGTAAAAGATAGTTCTCTGGTTGCAGGGCTGGTCCAAAATCAGATAGGCTGATACATGTACACAACAACATAGTCCTGCAGCCAAAGAACCTATACGTTAGACAACTTCTTGTCTAACTTCAGCTAAGACAAAAATATATTGATTGCAGTGGACCTGAAAAGAAGGGTCAGATTGGAGAAGTTTTTCTATTATAATTTATATCAACAATTCAGCATACTTACTGGTGCATATAAACCACATAAGCTGGATGTCAAATGCAGCATTCAGGCAAACAATAAAAAATGTGCATTCTTAATTATATAAAACTTAGCACAAAATGTTAAGTGTTAACTATAAGTACAAATTCTACATAAAAGCTATTGAAGATCAATGGCAGCCAACCAATAAGAGAAGGAAATGGAAATGGACTAATTCCATCAAACTTTCAGCATACCACGGTGGCCAGACAAAGTGTGAGCAAATGCCCCCGAAGCAATATCACAAAGTCAGCAATCAACATATGAGATGTTGCCAGTGGAGACATAGCAGTCCTATAAACCTTTCCAGGCATTTTAAAATTCATCACCACCTATAATAACAAACAAATCAGTTTAAAGAAAACCCAGAATCGGTATTCACAATACAAACATTATAAAGCAAATAAAATACCTGGGTGGTATTCGTATCCCAAACTTTGATATAATGGTCATAAGAACCAGTAACGAATAGTCCGGTGTCAACAGGATACCAAATGGCCGATGAAATGGCATATTTATGACCCTTTCCGCGTTGCTTATCGACTGAAAACAAACATTTGCGTTTGGAAATCAGACCATTTCCTTCATAGCAAGTTGGCCTTTGAACATCATAAACAGCAGCCGATGCATCGGATGCACCCGATAACAAATATCTTCCCTCAGTCAAATCCACCTATTTTGCACGATAACCCAAAAAAATGCCATAAATTTCTATACATTTAAAGAAAGAAAAGTAGAATTTAATTATAATCATAAGAAAGCAGGTAACTGAAAGAGCTGTGGATTAAAAAAGAGAACACCTGAAAGGAATTGATGGAGCCTCTGTGAGGAGAAACGATGTCTTTATTATTGGAGAGTTGGAGATTCGAAATCCGATTGGATTTGATCCGACTGGAAAAGGAATTCGGACGGATTTTACACATTTCTCTGTCTCCGATATCCTTCCACATTTTCCTAGCATCTCTTCAGCCTCAACTTTTATTATAAAAAAAATCTACCTGTTTCTTCTTCTTCTTTCTTTTTTTCCTCTTTCCCTTTATCAAAGCCTTTATCGGCTTCAAATTTTAAGCATCATAAACAGGCACAATTCCCCTGTTTAGCAGTTGCCTTCCCTCCCTCGAGTTTCCGAGTTTTTGTCCGAATCAGTCCCCTTCCCCTCCCTTTTCACAGAGCTGCTGCTTCTACAACTACAAAAGGATATTGGGAGAGGGTGGGCTGCCCGTAGTATTCTTTTGATGGGTATTGTTTGGGCCCTTTGGACTTTTGGGTCATTTACAACATCGACCTGGAATTGATAACCAGTGAAAATGACTACCAACTATGGCATTGGTGTCAACGTGACTACTGTTTTTAAAATTTAGTCAATGACCATCATTTTTTAAATTAAGTTAATATGATCATTTAACTATTTATTTAGTTTTAATATAGTTAACATTTAACGAAGAGGTGCTTATGTGTCGATTAATAATATTGATATTATTATATAGAGAAAATCGCCTCAGTGACCAAAAAAAAGTTATAATATACGATTTTAACCAACTTTTTTTAGTTTTGCCAAAATGACCAACAAAATCGCAACGCGAAATAAAAATCGCAACGCGATCCCCAGAATCGCAAATCAGTTTCCAGAATCGCAAATCAGTTTCCAAAATCGCAACGCGATTCTTGAAAATCGCGATGCGATAGTACAAATTCGCATTGCGATTTTCCAAAATCGCAACGCGAATATGAAAATCGCAACGCGAACACATAAATCGCAACGCGTATCCGTAAATCGCAACGTGTATCCGTAAATCGCAACGCGTATGGGTAAATCGCAATGCGTATCCGTATATCGCAACGCGTATCCGTAAATCGCAACGATAATACATAAAATCGCAACGCGTATCCGTAAATCGCAACGCGATATTTAAAGCGCCATTATAATCGCTACGCGTATTTTATTTTCAAATTACAAAAAGAATATTAAGACAAAATCCCGTAATCGCAACTCATAACCTAAAACCTAAAATCACAACTCAGTCCCATCTCCATCTCTCACTCTCTACGGCGAAGAAATCCGTCCCCATCTCCGAAGATTTCCGTCCCCATCTCCGCGAAATCCCTCACAACCATTCACGGTCAGAATCCCTCACAATATTCAGAAATGGAAAATCAACCTCCGAGGGTTAGTTTTTTTAATTATTTTATTTTGAAATGTTTGCATTATTGTAGGTTTTTCATATTGAAACTGATGATAAGTTTACTGGTCATTTCAATAATAGATTAACCATTTCACTTAGATTTCATTTCGCGTTACGATTCTGTCGTTGCGATTTTCATTTCGCGTTGCTATTCTCTCGTTGCGATTTTCAAGTTAGTATTTGTCTTTGTCTTTGTTCTGTCTTTTGGTTGAAGTAATGCAATCCATTCAAGTTTCAATTTGCAGAAGAGTCGCAACGAGATAAATGAAAATCGCAACGAGGGAATGACTGTCGCAACGAGAGAATCGCAACGCGAAATGGAAATCGCAACGAGAGAATCGCAACGCGAAACCAAAATCGCATTGCGATTTTCATTTCGCGTTGCGATTCTCTCGTTGCGATTTTCATTTCGCGTTGCGATTCTCTCGTTGCGATTGTCATCTCGCGTTGCGATTCTCTCGTTGCGATTTTCATTTCAACCAAAAGACAAAACAGTGTTGCAAATTTTAGTTTAAAGAATAAACTACTACTTTTTATGTTTATTGTTTTTGGTATATCTTCACAGTGTAGTTTTTGGTATATCTAACTTGGTATTTATTGTTTTTGTAGAAATTTTTTTCGGCTCAATTGACCTTGAGAAATAAAGTCAGCCTGGCCACTACAATTGCAAAGAAGCTTTCACCTGCTCAAAGACAATTGTTTGAGGAAACCTGCTTCGGGCCATGGCTGAGAGTACAGCATCCGGGTGGAGATGCTAATTTGACCCATTTGTGGCTTCAGACCATGACATCAAATCTACCCGACAGTATACAACGTGGTGAGGAAGAGATATGGTTTCATTTTCCACCAGCGTATACTTGCTTTGGGCGGAAGGAGTTCTGCTTAATCACTGGTCTACGATTCGGACACGATGATGTAGGCCGGTACACTCGTCATATCGCCCGCCCATCATGGTTATCCCGGGTTTTTCCGGATGAGTCAATGGAGAAGCCGAACCTACATGTCGACGACCTGAAGAAATTATTTAATAAGAAAGCTGGTTTCACTCGGATGGAAGACGTCGATGTTGTCCGAGTATGCCTTCTACTACTTGTGTATGCCGGCTTTTTAGGCAGAGAGGCCAGACAACCTATTCATCGGGAGCTAATAATATTGGTAGAGGACCTGAATGCATGGAATCTGTTTCCGTGGGGTTCGTATATATGGAAAGCTACCTGGACTAAGTTGTCGTCTGCCTTTGATGACCGCAAAAGTTTGCGGGGCGATGGGTCCAAATACACTTTGTCAGGCTTTGTTTGGGCCTTTAAGGTAAGAATTTCTATATAATGTTTCTAAAATTATAATTAATTATTTAACAATTACTAATTTTGTTATTATATTGTTTGTAGATTTGGATATTCGAGGCTTTCCCCAGCATGCGTACATATGCAATAAAACGTCAAATGATATTCCCAGGGCTATTTCCTGGAAGAGGAAAACTCTGTTGGATTGGGAAGACTTAATACCATATGCCACAATAAATAATGTAAGTTAACACAAATACTTTCATATAATATATAAACAAGTTATTAATAGTAGACGTTTAACTTTGTTTGAGTTTTTATATTTTAGGAGGCCAACATTCCATTACAAAGACTGACACCCACGGAGGAAGAGCTTGCCACTGATTGGTGGCAAGCTAGTCAGAATTTTTTTGATGGCACGGATGATGAGCAGCATCCACTTCCTCCAATTCGAGAGCCATCACCTCACCTAGAGCCATCACCCGATCGACCCGACTATACATCTCTAGAACGAGAGCCATCACCTATCCCGTCACATCATCGAGCCTCTTCTCCACCATCACCTCATGATAGGCGACCGGCAAAGATGCCACGACTCCTATCTCCCTGTTCTCCACCTCCACCTCAACGGGATGAGTCAAGGGAGTTACGTGATGAGGTCAATGCCTTGCGTGAGGAGATCGGTACTCTACGCGATAACGATGGTGCATGGCGTGTGGAGGTGTCAACTTTACGTGGTGAGGTTGCCGCTCTACGTGAGATGATAGTATCGTTGCAGAATGAGGTTCATACTCTACGCAACGAGGTAAGTTTAAGATTTTCCATATTTAACTTAATGATAAATTTACTCGTAATTTCACTTAGATTAGCCATTTCACTTAGATTGCTTAGTAAATTTGTTCGGTTGCTGCCAATTCTGCTAAACTGTGTATTTTTAACACTGTGAAATAGTATTTGTCTTTGTTTTGTCTTTTGGTTGAAAGTAAATTTGTTCGGTTGCTGCCAATTCTGCTAAACTGTGTATTCTTTAACACTGTGAAATATATTTGTCTTTGTTTTGTCTTTTGGTTGAAAGTAAATTTGTTCGGTTGCTGCCAATTCTGCTAAACTGTGTATTCTTTAACACTGTGAAATAGTATTTGTCTTTGTTTTGTCTTTTGGTTGAAAGTAAATTTGTTCGGTTGCTGCCAATTCTGCTAAACTGTGTATTCTTTAACACTGTGAAATAGTATTTGTCTTTGTTTGTCTTTTGGTTGAAAGTAAATTTGTTCGGTTGCTGCCAATTCTGCTAAACTGTGTATTCTTTAACACTGTGAAATAGTATTTGTCTTTGTTTTGTCTTTTGGTTGAAAGTAAATTTATCCATTCAAGTTTCAATTTGCAGAAGAAGAAATAGTTTACTTTCGCAACACGAAACTTAAATCGCAACGCGAAACCAAAATCGCAACGCGAAATGAAAATCGCAACGACAGAATCGCAATGCGAAATGAAAATCGCAACGACAAGATCGCAACGCGAAACCAAAATCGCATTGCGATTTTCATTTCGCGTTGCGATTCTTTCGTTGCGATTTTCATTTCGCATTGCGATTCTGTCGTTGCGATTTTCATTTCGCGTTGCGATTTTGGTTTCGCGTTGCGATTTTAAGTTTCGTGTTGCGAAAGTAAACTATTTCTTCTTCTGCAAATTGAAACTTGAATGGATTGCATTACTTCAACCAATAGACAAATCAAAGACAAATACTAACTTCAGGGTATTAGTTTGAAACATTTTTCTTTGTTATCTGATGCATTTTGTGAACTATGATAGAATAATGACTTGGGTGAATACAATGCAAGTTTGAAACATATTTGTCTTTGTTTTCACTGTTTAAATATCATGTCTGTTTATTACTGATTTTTGTATTTAATTATTTAGCGGCCCGATAGAGTGGATGCTTTACGTCGGGTTATGCTTGCACGACGGAGTTCACGCATCAGACAGCGTGCACGTGCTATTAAGTCTCCGTACACCCCAATAGTGCGAAGACACCGCAAGAAGAAGCCCGACTCGCCTGTCATCCCTCAAGAGTCCACTCCTATCGTTGAAGAGGCCCCCCATATCATTCCTCGAGAGTCCCCTCCCACCGTTCAAGAGGCAACTGTCATCGTTGAAGAGGTCCCTCCCACCATTCCAGAGCCCGATTCACATGGGGTAATATATCGAAGTATTGAGAAACCCCCACCGGTTCCGGACATGATGGATGAGAGTTGGCTCTCGTATGAGTTACCGGCCAGTACCATACCGGTATCTGAAGAGGAGAGGGAACAACTACCGGACACAATTTTGGATAACACCCTTTGGGCTAAGACCGCAGTTGATTTTTATCTACATGAGCGGAGCAAGGGGTGTTTCACTGACATATGCAAGCTCACCGATGATATCTTTTTGTTGCTTGAACGGCCTTGGTGGGGCGTATTATTAGGGGTCGAAGACAATGGCTATTTCGATGGGGGGTAAGTCTTATATTTTTCTTATATTTCAATTTGATTAATTTTTTTTTTAAATTTATGTAAGTCACTAATATATGTCTTTTTTTGTAAAACAGCATATCGATGCGTGGGTGACACGTCTTCTAATAATAGAAAACTTAAGAAAAATAAAAATATACGATATACAATAATGCCGACGTCTTTTCACGCCGTTCACTTGAAGAATGCACGAGATGAATCATTTGATTTGGGCAATGGACAAACTAAACTTTATCCTGCATGGTGGGAGGTCGATAAGGTTAGTATTTATTTTAGATTGAGTTTAAAGGTTTTATGAAATAAGTGCGCAAATGAATGAATTATTACTTATGATTGCAGGTGTTTATCCCTGTTTTGGAACGTAAACATTGGATTCTCGTCGAGCTTCAGCTCCCATCCCTTAAGACAATAGTGTATGACAGCATGATAAATTACATATCATTGGCTGATTTAAGAGATGTTATTAAGGGATGGAGCTCTCATTTGGCTAAATTCTTGGATGCGATCAATTATTGGACTCGTTCTGGAAACAAGAAGCCAAAGAAGCTCAATATTACAGTTATTAGAGACGAGACCGCGCCACAACAAACGAGCGGAGCCAGAGGAGATTGTGGTCCTCTCGTATGCTTGGCGTTGGAGCGTTTGACGACGGGAAGCATCAAGTATCTACCTCCCACCGATAGAGATAAAGCTGCAGTAGGCTTGTGGTTTCGGCATTATATGGCTAAATCGATATATACGAGACGCTGCCTACCTGCATCCGCGTTATAAAAATGTCCATAAACAATTGGTAAGTTTATATACTTATAAATGAAAATGTTTGGTTAAGTAATTAGAATTCAATAATTTGCGTAGAAAGTGTTGTTTGAACAAATGTTTGGTTTCTGCAGGTTAATCTCAGAAGTGAACTGCGTGAAAATGATGTCGAGCTGCAAAAGTTGATTCAATAGTTTAATTGATTGTTTTTGATTGTTTAATTGATTTGTAAAAGTTGATTCAATTTTTGATTGTTTAATTGATTTGTAAAAGATGATTTGTAAAAGTTGATTTGTGTAATTGATGCGAACATAATTCTTATTCTTATTTGTGCTTGTTTAATTGATTGAAATGTAATGGTTGATTTTGTTGATTTCAATCTGCATTATGTTGAAGGCAAAAATGACTATCGCAATGCGAAATGAAAATCGCAATGCGAAATGAAAATCGCAACGAGAGAATCGCAATGCGAAATGAAAATCGCAATGCGGAAATGAAAATCGCAATGCGTTTATAATTTCGCATTGCGATTATCTCGTTGCGATTTTCATTTCGCATTGCGATTTTCATTTCGCATTGCGATTCTTTCGTTGCGATTTTCATTTCGCATTGCGATTTTCATTTCGCATTGCGATTTTCATTTCGTATTGCGATTTTAATTTCGCATTGCGATTATGTCTGTTCGATTTTCATTTCGCATTGCGATTTTCATTTCGCATTGCGATTCTCTCGTTGCGATTTTCATTTCGCATTGCGATTTTCATTTCGCATTGCGATTCTCACGTTGCGATTTTCATTTCCGCATTGCGATTTTCATGTTGGGATTTTCATTTCGCGTTGCGATTGTATTTTCCGTGTTGCGATAGTCAAATGCATGCCTAATAGTGATAACAACTGAATAACAAGAGTTGGTTAAGTCAAAATGGTTGGCCTGAGTCATTAATTCAACTGAAAATGTTAAAAGTTCACACATAAAATCCACATAATACAACGTTTGCATATGAGCTTTTGATGGCAACGTTTACATAATACACATAAAATGTTAAATGTTAAAACGTTTACATAATACAACTGAATAACAACGTTTACATAATACAAAGTTCACACCATATGAGCTTTGGATTTTGATGAGGATCCATATTTTGGTAGAGGAAAAGATGATTTTGATGGCACTGGTGATCCACATGTCAACCTTGTATGACCACTTTCCTTGCACCGACTACATGTCGATCTCTTCTTCTCTTCACCCTTAGACGGTATACGATCGTGACTTTTTGGTCGGCCAGGTAGCCTTCTGTCCATGGCTGGTGGCAAAACTGTTTGTAAGTCATC